AAAAACGAACATAATTTTATTAAGATAAAGAAACGAATGTATAATTAATCAATAGTTCTGTTTACTAATAGTTTTTAAATTGTAATTTATTTTATTTACATAAAGAATCGAATGTATAATTAATCAATAGTTCTGTTTACTAATAGCTTTTAAAATGTTAGTTATAAGTAAATAAACTCAGGTAGTAAAACGGTTTTTAAAAAACCGAAAGCAGCTATGACTATGTAAATATATTTACATATATTAATGTTCTTTTTATTTATTTTGTTTTGTAGTTTTTGGACGCGATTGGTTTTTCTGTAATAAATAAACAAGGTTGTCTTGATTTTCATGTGTTTGATGCTGTAGTATTGTAGGCCTATATATAAATAAAGTTGAATTATATTTTGCGTTTTTTTTTTTAAATTCTGCTTTTACGACTTTCATAATCGTATTGTAAAAAATGTCATTAAAATATTTTAAACGTGATATATGATTGACAATAAATATATTTTTAAAATTCGTTCACGGTGTAGACTAAACACCACCGGCTCCAAATATATTTTCCAACGCCGGTCGGTAGAGGGGGACCATCACCAGAGCATAGAAGGGCAGGGTGGCGCCGTGGAACACGAAGAAAAAAATAAGATCCCAGTGACAGGCTTTTATACAACACCTGCACTTAGCTGTTTTACGTTTTTTACGAAACTTCGTCTCGCATAGCTCGACTTGTTTCCCTTTTCTCTGAAGCAAAGTCGTCAGCGCCATGATGATTCTATCACTAGATGATTTCTGTTTTCTTGTTTCTGTTGCGTACGTCTCCACCGAACTCAAAGGCGGCTTCTCGGAGTTCATTCGACTCTTTGTAGAATTCGTGGTTGTGTTTTCGGTTTCGGCTGTTTTCGCCAGCATCAAATCTTCAATCTGTTCGCTTATGGCCTCGTCCGAATCCCGAACGGCGTCTTCCCTTTCCTGGTCGAATCTCCGGATGACGAAGAGCGTGGCTAACAGAGCGAAGAAACATTGGGCCATTGAGAAGAGGATGAATATGGTCAGGTTGGGCAGGTCTGATAGACTGCGGGGCATGGTACCACTGAAACACACAAAAAAATGTTTGACGTTATAAATATCATTAGGACGGAGGAGTCATACGGTAGAGCATAAGACTGCTAACTCGAAAGTCACCATTTCGAGTCTGGGTTCTTCTTCTTCTTCGTTCTTAATTTTAGTGTTGGAGGGATACCCTCCAACACAATTAAGTATACGTGGCAACTGGTTATGCGCAATTGAGGCCGTTCACTCCGATTTCACCCTGCTTTTCTGTCTGGATTTGCTTCCATAGCCTTTGTCCAACCAAGAAAAAACTACAAGGCATCAGTTGTTTGATTTTGGAGTTGTTTCTACTAGAAGAATGCTCATCTGTTCGAAGGTTTGAACTCGAGACAGTCTGGGTTCAAATTTGTAAGACGTTCCAGCTCTGATGAGTACCTGACTCAAGTTAGTGAAAGCAAAGCTGGCTGGGTACAGTGCCAAGAACACCATTTTAAAAGTACTAAGAAACAAATCTTACACTATAAAGTTTAGAAACACCGCCGTTGAGACGAAAATGGAGACCAAAAACGAAACTTTTTCCCCTGAAGATGGCGGGATCCAAAAGACCAATGACGTCATGGCGGAAGTGACAGCCATCGGTGCCAGAATGCTGATGACGTAGTATAGAACTCTCCGAACAATCGTCAGTTTTACCCTGAGATAAATGAAACAATTTTTTTATCAAATTACATTTTATAAATGGTATTGGCGTACAATAATTGTATTACTCATAAGAAACTGTACCATATTTTCATTTTATTTAACGCCGATGAAAGTGGTGCTTTAAAGTGATTTCGTAACTCAAAACAAAAGAGCATGCGAATGATAACCCGAAAGTCTCGAGTTTTTGGATGAGGTGTGAAAATATCAGAAGACGTGGAAAGTAAAACTTTGACCATTTTAAAAGTACCATTCAAATAAAAGAAATAAAAAACTTAATTTTATTCAAAGTTTCGCATGTAAAAAAGGCATACACGAATACAAATAGAAAGAAAGGAAATATAACTATTATTGAATGGATTTTAGCATAAAGCATTTGAACTCAAATGATTATTAGTGTAAGTAACAAGAAGAAAAAACGCTATTATCACTTGCATTTACGATATGGTAAAAAAAATTCTATTACACGAGTTGGCACATTAAATTCAGAGGACAGTGACACCATTTATGTCATTAAGGACGTCACCTGACGCGAGATATCCTGGTTTCGCCCACTTGATAAATGTCAGTCTCGATGTCACGTGAGCTGATGGACCACTCGCCGTCCAGCTTGAAAGGGTTGGGGAAGGAATTGTTTGAGACGTGAGTAAAATTGAAGTCGCAGTCCTCGAAGAAGGGCAAGAATATGATGTCACATGACTGTTTGAAGAATACATGTATTATAAAAAAAAATAATTAAAATTTAGACATTTAAATTTAGCTGGAGCAAAGCCTTGCCGATAACGGCAAGACATTGGCAAAGTAAAGTTAAATAAACCGGGAGTGATCTCCCCCAAACTTTTTCGAATATTATTATATAACACTACGCGGTATGGCAACTTGGGATATAGAAAATATTTTAAATCCATTTTTAATTACTTAAACTTTTTAAAATAGAATAGAAACTCGTAGAAAAAAGAATTGCATACCAAGTGAACGCCAAATAAAATGTGTATAATAGTGCGAAATGGTATTAGTACTTTATAAATTCACATTCGTTTTTTGAGAAATCGGAAATAGCCTAAATAACTACTTCCGGTCAACGGAAATAACTCAACATTTGATAGAAGGTAGAGAATTAGATATTTTACTTACATGTGAAATTTCATTTATCTAACTAAAATAGTACTTAAGTTATAGGCTTTTGTAAAATTGAAAGTAGAATAAGTTCCAATTCCGTTTACCGGAAATCGCTAAAAAGTTGATACAGAACTACAAATTTGATAAAAAACTTATATGTGAAATTTCATCAACCTAGCTGTAACGGTACTCAGGTTATCGTGTTCACAGACACACACAGACACACAGACACACACACACACACACACACACATACACACACACACATACGAACAAGATTGCATAACTATGTTATCCGACTCGATTTTTTTTTCGCGATTACAATACTTTCTCTATATTTTTTATACGTCAAAGTAAAAACGAAATAATGAAACCGGTACCTGCACGTCAAAGGGGTAGTAGACGAATTCCAGATTACACGTCGTCTTCAGGAAGAGCGGAGATCGAAACACGACGTTACCGTTGTTATACAGGAGCAGACGATCGATGACGTCACGTATGATGATGTTGTCGTTGTGTGCAGCGTTGGCGATGACGATGTTTGGATGCCAAATCCTGTGGAGAAATAGAATAGGCGTTTTGGCGGCAAAATAAAATGTAATTTGCCTTTTTAAAACCCAGCTTTAGCGATATTTTTTCGATATTTTTTTAAAAGAATGTTTACAAATATTTTTTGAAATAACGTTATGTGAAATGCATTGTTCAATGCGAAATTATTTCAATTTTGATCTTTGAAAAAAATTCATTTCAATAGATATCCTAAAATTATTTGTTTTGTGGCTTCTACATATAAGAATTAATCAGTCTCAAAGAAAAGCCATTTAGTAAAGTTGAATACCCAAAATTATTTGCGTTATGGATTTTATAGAAAAGAACAAACCGGTCTCAAAGAAGAAATGCCAGTTCAGTGTGATTGAATACCTAAATTTTATTGATTGATGGCTTCTTCGGATAAGAAATTCCTTTTCTTATTTGTTCTTAATTATTGTATTGGGATTTCTTCCAACACCATAACGCATTAGGAATCAACATGTTATGAGCCACAAGGCCAATTTAATCCGACTTCAGCCTGCTTTTCTTTTTAGAAAATGTCAACCCAAGAACAATTGTACAAGGCACCTGTTGTTTGA